AATGATTGTAAGGTGTACATGTCCAACTGGTAGGTGTCATCTGACCTTGACCTCATTTTCATGGTTCAGTGGTCAAAGTTAAGTTTTTGAGTTTTGGTCTTTTTTTCTAATACTATATGCAATAGGTCAACTATATTTGGTGTATGGAAATATTTTACGATGTACATGTCAGTCTCGTAGGTTTTATTTTACCTTGACCTCATTTTCAGGATTCATTTCTCAGTGATAAGTTTTTGTGTTTTGGTCTGTTTTTCTTCAAATATAAGCAATAGATCAACTTTATTTGTTGTATGGAAGGATTGTAAGGTGTATATGTCTGTCTGGCAAGTATCATCTGACCTTGACCTCATTTTCATGGTTCATTGGTCAATGTAAAGTTTTCATGGTTAAGTTTGTTTCTTAGATACTATAAGCAATAGGTCAACTATATTTAATGCATAAATTGATTGTAAGGTGTACATGCCTGTCTGGCAAGGTTCATCTGACCTTGACCTCATTTCATGGTTCATGGGTCAATGTTAAGTTTTCTTGGTTAAGACCTTTTCGTAGAAACTATAAGCAATAGGTCAACTATCTTTGGCTTATTGAATGATTGTAAGGTGTACATGTATTTCTCGTTTGGTTTATCTGACATTGACCTCATTTTCTTGGATCATGTTAAGTTTATGTGTTACTTGTACTAAAGCTTTACATTTAGGACTATCAACATAAAATCAATGGTTAGTAAAGAAGGCGAGACATTTCAGCGTGTGCACTCTTATTGGTTATTATCTTGAATATCATTAATGATAAAGATAAACTTTTCAATTCAGGATCTCCTTTTACAAAAAAATTTAGAGAAAAAATACTAGTAAGTCATAAACATTTTAGCATAATCTACAATCAATTTTAATTGTTAGATTTTTTGTGAAAAGAACTTCAGATCTGAATGCTACTCAACACTGCACTAATTTTTATACGCCCATTTAAGGGACGTATTATGGTATACTGTTGTCCTTCCATCCGTCGTCAACATGTCGGACAATGACTCAAAAATGCTTTAACCAATTTTATTCATTAAAAAAAGGGGATTTTCCAGTTTTCGGACAATAACTCAAAAGTGCTACTCAAAAGTGCTTTGAGCAATCTTCATGAAACTTTGGTGACTGGTTTATATCTATTAAAATAACTTACCTTTAGTTTTTTATAAATTTCTGATATGACATAGAGGAGTTATGGAACTTATTCTTCTTTGAAAAAAAGCGATGGGCATATCATGTGCTCATGGCGCATCTCTTTATTGTACTAGGTGTCTAGCACTATAACAGTCAATAAATTTGTATAGCTGTTATTTAATTGAGGTTTCAGTTTCTCTAACTCATAACTTAAGTGATTATTTTTAGTAAAGGAATACCACTAATGAAATTTTCATAATGTGACATGGTGTGGCATATTATATATCAACTGAGACATTTAAACCTAATAGCCTTGGCATGTTGGTATATTAGTACTCACAAGTGGGAAAATAGATATAAAGACCTGACCTTACAAAACCCAAATCATCATGTTTGTCATAGATCTTTCATTTGTGTTGCAATTCAGCATTAGTTTCAGAACACCTCTCTGTACATGTATAATCCATAATTTACAGTTCTCTGGAATATATGAAATGTATTGCGGACTGAAAAAATGATTCAGTGAAAGAACTCATCAGTTTATATATAATTCTATTATGGTTGTAGTCTGTTATCTATTTCTTGCATGAAAAGATATTACTCGTATTACACTGCACGAAGTGTGATACAAAAACTGTGTGAATTTGATTGGCTTATCCAGCATCATGAGACAATAATACGACATTTCCTTTGGCTATTTGTTAGGTCATTGATGACTTTGAAAGGTTACGACGATGTACATTTCTTCCATGTCATCCGACATGTGATTTCAGTTATATACAAGACACTCACACTTTTCACCTGAAAATCTTCTTTTTGTCAAATTTAATTACATTCTGAAGCATACAAAAATTTCTAAATGTCTGATGTTAAAGTTTGACACTGGAGCAGGACGTCATACTGGAATGTGCAAAAGACTAGATCAACAATTCACAGAATTTTCAAATTAACACAATGAGGGTGATGACCATAAGAGAAATTGGTTTAACAACTCATGAGCATTGGATATCGCTTGATATCAACTCTCGTTATTTAATTTAAATAGTAATAATAAACGAGCCTGTGGCGAGTTTATTATTACTATTGAAATCTCGTTATGAAACCTATCATTATCTGGAAGTAAAACAGAAGAAGGTTTTACATAAATATTGCTTGATATGAATAAACAATACAAATTCAGGCCAGTCTGACGAGTGATACAGGAGTCCTGTTAAGAAAGTAAATTATGTTAGAAATGTTTTTTGTTGGAAACTGTTCACAGAGAGTTTTTTTGTTGTTTTCATGTTGATCATTCCAGCTTACTAGCTAGTTTCTTGTGTAACATTTTTTTACTTTTTTGTCCATATCTATTTTTATGAGGTACAGATTTAGTCAATATTATAGTATTTAAGGAGCTCCTGAAATATTTCAGGACCTCCATAGTTCTATTTCAGGATAACCTGAAAAATATTTAAGGACCTCCAAAATTCCATTTTAGGATATCCTTAAATCCATTTTAAAATATCCTTTAATCCAATTTATGAGGTCCTGAAATATTTCAGGATACTGGTATATCCAAAAATCAAATCGTGGAGGTCCTGAAATTGATTTCAGGATAACCTTAACTTGAATTGTGGAAAACAAAAATATTTCAGGAGGCCCTTAAAGTTATATGATGCTTCAAATTTAACAAAAAAGTTTAATATATTTTATATATGTACTTGAATGGCTAAGATTTAAAATAACTTGTACATAAACTTTCTTATAAAAAGAAAATCCTTTATTTTATCCAAGTCTTTAGAAATGTACTGTTATTGAATTGTCTTCCCTGCTTTTCTGTATTCGGTTACCTTAACCATGACACCTTTAGTTAGAAATTTTGCAACCACACAACACAAGTGTGAGGGGTAAATTCTAAAAGGTAATCAAACCTGGAATGAAGATAGTATTAATTGTGAAAGAATAGAAAAATTTTAATACACCATATACTTTAGCTCACCATTTGCCATCCTTTGCATCAGTCGTCTGGTGTAAACTTTTTCAAAGATCTCCTCTGAAACAACTCGACCAAATGAAACCAAACTGGGGCTGCATGATTCAAGGTATCTAGTATAAAGTTTTTGGTTTTTTTTTCCAGTCTGTCAATAAACATGGCCGCCATAGCCAAAAAAAAATTAAAAAAAAAAAAAAAAACGTGTAAAATGCAGTTTTTGGCACATTTTGGGTATTTTCTAAATTTATCAACTGAGAATTTAGATGATGGGAGTTCATAACGACCTTGACTGGCTATACAGCCCTTTCAAGGTCGGTAGAATTTAGGGAGCTACCATTTGATTTTTATGAGGGGGGCTAGGATGAAAAATTTTGTCCTGCATTTTTTTTTAGTTGTAATCTCTGTCCGGCCTTTTTATTTTTCACTCTATTCGGTCCTGCCTTTTTTTTTTATTAGTTTATCCTGACTTTTTTTTTATAAATTGTCATCCTGCCTTTTTTTTTTGCCAAGTTGCTCATCCTGCCTATTTTTTTTACTCAAAACTCCTGTCCTGCCTTTTTTTTCGAATTTCATCCTAGCCCACCCCCATAAAAATCAAATGGTAGCTCCCTTAGGAAAGGTATGTTACAAATCTTGTCAGTACCACAGCAATGACAGCTGTGAAGTTCAAATTGTTTTATGGTTTGACAGCTGTCATGGAAAAGAGGCTACCTGGCCAGTACTTTGCAATCAATTCTTAACAGTGTTGAGAGCCTTCAAGACTTTCTAGAATATTTATATATAATCTTATTTTGATTGGCTGAAAGTTTTTTTGTCTATCAGCTCATAGACATAATTTCGTCATGTGATTGTGACCTCATCAAACTTTTTTTCATGATTTACTACTTAAAAATGGAATTTAGAATTAAATTATAAGGAATGACTGTAATATTTTTTATGTCTATTGGAAATAACCTAAAAAAATGTAGTGCACACTTTTAAATAACCCATTACATGGGTTATTCAGTGTGCACCACATTTTTTTGGTAATATTTCTTCATAGACAGAAAAAATATTACAGTCATTCCTTAAATACATTTAAAAACTTTTTAATGTGTTTGTGATATGTAGACTGAAAATATGTTTTCGGATATTTTGAGATTAACCAGAGGGTAAAACTAGTCAAATTCAGTAGCATTCATGATGGAGGTTACTCATTATTAGTTCTCCTCAATGAGGTTGAGGGTTTCTTTTAGAGACACTCAGATACTAAGTGACCTACATCATCATTAACTTAGTCACCTTAGTGACAGGATGAATACTCAGGCTTAAACGAAGGATTGTATAGCAGCATCGCACAAAAAGCATTACAAGTAGGTGACTCTGACTGATACCTAATGCTTCATGATTTTTATTGTGAGATCGATGCATCTAGTGGAGTGAATCAGAATCCCACAGAAAGCAAGTTATTAGACACTACAGTGAAGTGTAAAATGTAATTCTAAAATAAAAATATTAAATTTGACAAGAAAAGGCATTGTAACATATGGCCAATAAACTCCTAGATGCATGGCTACACCATACGATTATACATCAATATGCATCTGAAATCTGAACTTGGTAATAAAATGAATTATAAAATTCAGCGAAAAAGATTTCCCGATTTTTTATGATATATCAATTAGAAAATATTCTTGGAATGGATTGGAACGTAAGCTGATAATATCATTAGGTAAAAATCTACTGAATAAAGTTAATTTATGGGAAAATGTTAGAAGCATGTTTAATTAGCAAAGGGTGAAAATTATTTAAATTGAACTGATCAATTTTGCTGAAATAATCTTTTCCGGATTTTGTTCATGTTCGATCCGATATTGTTTTAATTTTCAACAGCTGTTTTTAACTTCCGGAATTTGCCGGTGCACTGTCGACGAAAGTTTTCACATGTTTACATTATGGGGGCATCAAACAGCACCAGAAGGGTAGTTATAGAAGATTCAAGTGGTAGCGGCGTTGCAGTTACGGTACGAATGAGTACTAAAATGATATGGCATTGTATGCGGCATCGGACATGCTTGACCTTATGATCGTTACGTGAATGTCATCTGGCAAAGTCATGATATACTTCTATTTCAAATTGAAAGTTCTGACATTTCTTTTCATTTTTTGTCATTCTTTTGGATGTTTAGTCATGTTCAGAAATTTAGTAGCTTTTTAAATAACTTGATGATATATAAGACCCCAATGGGCTATTCCAGAAATAATCCATCCCCCCCCTATGGAAGACATTGGAATTCCAGATTTTTTTTTCTCAATTTTTTCAAAAATTCCAGACAAATTTCCAATCTGCACAAAAAATTTCCAAACTTCTTGTCTATTGGTGCACAAGAAATTCCATGAATTTTCCAAAGGGTAGAGTAATTTCCACATAATTTTTACTGGTAGTCGTTAAGAATTTCCAGAACAGAAATACTTTGCAACCCATTATTTCCAGGTATAAAACACAAGAGTTCTGATCAATTCCCTCTTAAAAGACTTCAAAATAATGGGGGAGGGGACAAAACTTTGATACAGTGATAGTATAGTTTAAATTTAGAGAGCAGGAGCATTCAAAATATTGTTTTATTCATTTTATAAGTTGCACTTTGTAAATAAAGCTTTTTCACAGACTGTCTCTTTTGGAGAGATATATATATATTATTCGTAGATATTTTGTTTTGTGTATGTACTAGTTCCCAGATATGATTTTGTGGGGTAGAGATACTACAGAATTTAGTATTTATTTGTTTAAACTCTTTAGAAGTTCGTGCATGTAAATGTTAAAAGTATATGCTGCACAGCCCTTTGTTTTGACCTTTGAATAAAGTAGTGGTACATACATGTATCAACAACTTTCCATTTCAGGATATAATTAAATTTTTACGAAACTTCATAGTACAAGAGGCACAGTTTTAGCTGTAAAGGTACCCGTAGTTCGTATGGGAAATTGCATTGTCTTTATTTACAGAAGTGCAACCTATATTCTATCTTGAATTGTTTCATATATATATATACAAAACTGTTGAATGTTAATCAGGTGCAAATGTCACAATAATTGGATTAATAGCATATATGACTACTCACTAGTGGAAAATTATATCACATGGAAAGATAAAAACAGAGAAAATTTGGTTTGATCATGGAAGTATTATATATTAAATATAATACTTTCATGGTTTGATAAATATTGAATGCCTTAATGACCTTTGTTAACACATCAAAAATATATCTTGACATATGATTAAATGTAGCTTCAGACACTTGTGATGTAATATATATAATCAAGGAGATGATAATTTCAACCAACTTATGTATTAAAATCTGTATTTTTCACCCTTTTCATATATATTAAAGGATTAATTAACACCAATAAATTGTGCAATTTGATATCCTAAATTTTATGATGAAATTTAGGGTTTGTCCTATAACATCAACTAATGCCAGATTTTAGGTCACTTCAGCTAAATAGCCAGAACATTTACCAATTAACAGATAATTGATACATCATTTATTCAAACACACTTGTTTGTCTTCACAGCAGGAAATTGTCTAATTACCACAATATTGTAGAAGACTGACCAGAAATGACCAGCTGTGGACTATGACTTTGCAAAATACTGCTACAAATAAATAGATTGTTATCAGAATCAGTGGAAAACTGTCTACTGACTTTTGAATTTACATTAAGAAGATCCCCCCCTTTTTTTTAAATCAATAGTCTTAATACAAGGCAATAGTAAAAGTTGTGAGTATTTGTGGTTAGTGTTTTATTTTCACACGAAAGAATATAACTAAGATATGGAAAATGGATATGAATAAGAAATGACTGATGTTTTTTAAAAGAAATAAATTTTGAAAATTTAAAAAGTTGATAAAAATTCTTTTCACAAAAAAAACCCTGACATTCCTAATATATACCCTGTTTAACTATTTATTTTTTGTCTAGCCTGCCACTAGTCGGCAAAGCTAGACATATGTAGCAATCCTTCACTCTAGCATCATCAACATTTAAGTTCATGTTTAAGTTAATTTCTATTTTTTTAAACGACAGAAGTTTTGTTAAATCTTCATGGAATTCTGCTTAACTGACAGACACTTCTTCTATACAAAGATCATGAAGACAGCATCCAGAGTTTTTATTCTTTTTTTCAATATTTCATTCATTTAATGGACCATGGAAAATGAATATAATACTTCAATGAATGGACTAATTAGATATAAGAAGATGTGGTATGAGTGCCAATGAGACAACTCTCCATCCAAGTCAACATTTATAAAAGTAAACCATTGTAGGTCACAGTACAGTCTTCAACACAGAGCCTTGGCTCACACCGAAAACAGTAAGCTATAAAGGGCCCCCAAAAAATTACTAGTGTAAAACCGTTCAAACGGTTTATTTTGCACTAACAAGGTATACATGTACAAAACTTTTAATTTTTTCAAAATACTAAGGATTTTTTTATTCCAGGAATAGATTACCGTAGCTGTATTTTGCAAAACCTCTATGGAATTTTGGGCCAATGCTCTTCAACTTCATAATTTATAAATTATTAGGTCTTTTATTAAACTTTTTGATTCAAGCATCACTGTTGAGTATTTTGTAGAGAGAACCCTATCTGGTGTAAACAATTTTAAGCCTGGTATCAACAACATGGTTTTTTAAACAGTCTGAGGGTTAAGCTTTTTTTAAGACTTCAATAACTTTGTCAAGCATTATGGCACTGACTGACCTAGCTGACTTAAGGGGTTGGGCTGCTCCAGTCATGCTTCAGTGATTCCCTATATAAGCAACCAAATTTTTCCCACCAAAGGGGGGTTCCTTCCCCTGGATCCGCCTATGCATTGAGCCAATGATACAGTGTTAGAATACTTAAAACACTTCGGCACTAAAGCCCTTATTTTTGTTCAATAAACATTTAGATACAGCCTAGGGTTGAATTTAGAAAAATATCAATAATGTCCTCAAACCTTTAAGCAATATCAGGAAACTTTTAAAGAAGATTCTTCATACTCTATAAATACCTGACATGTTGACTAAAAATTATAATTTTTTTATGCATTCTTCCATAATTTACTTATCAATAATTATTTTGCAGGCAACCTTTAGGTATTAAAATGAAAGATCTTGAATAACTTTGTCAAACCTTCATGAAATTTTACAAAACTTATAAAAATTAGACAGAAGCTTCTTCTTAAATCAAGAGAAAGAACCCGGAGCAAATTTTGATTTTATTTTTAAAGTAAAGATATAAACATGTCTTGCAAAAATTTAAACTCAAGAGATAAGGGTCATATTGCAGATGGGGATTTAGAGGGAGGTCGCGCCTTATAGAGCTACCACTAAGCTAATAAGCAACATTTTAATTTAACAAATCACATTATTAAATAGTTAACATGATTGATGAATAGTGCAAACATCCAAGTATGAGCAATATTTCATCTAAATCGTTTGTAATCAGCTGGACATGGTGATCCTTTAAGCTAACTGCAAACTAGTACATGTATTATTTGCAACTTTTGATATAAAGATTTATAGTTTCTGCAGCGAATGAAAGAATGAACCTAAACAACTTCTTCTGATCAATTTAGAGCACAATGCGCAGAACAGTGATTTTTTTTTTCATTCAGTAAAACAAATGTGTCCAAAGCACTCGCACGATTGTTTTCTGTGTTTTGGGATAATTTCATAGAAATATGATCCAATAAGGCAATATCCACCTTACCTATAATTTTTAGTGCAAATCATTTCTCTGGCCTATCATTAATACTGTGTAGCAATTTTTTTTGGTTTTTTCCGGAAATGTGTTAATTTAAGGGAAACTTTCAGCAGAGACCACCCCTTCTGTTTTTCATTTTTTTTTAATACTGTTTTATTTTTTATTTTTTTTTCATAATTTTATAAATTTTGTTAATTTGAATTTGAATTTAAATTTTGATTTTCTGATTTTCTAACTATTTCAATAAATGTTGAATTAAATGTTTAATGGTAAGAATTTTGTCTTTTAAGAATATTTGTTTACATGTGTGGTTTTAATGATGATGGTCATTAATTAGTTCTGCACAATAAGAAATTTTGTAGGAACTGTGATGTTCAAACAAACTATTTTATAGCTCATTTCACTAATTCACCAATGTTCTATTTCTTTTGAATCCTATGGATAGGTTTTGATGGGATATAGCACCTATTGTAGAATCTGTTTTAATAAGATGCCAGTATTTCCTGAATACTTTTTGAAGTTTTTCTGCTTGAGAATGATAATATGTAATGAATGATACATTACATCTATTTTCAACTTCCTTCTTTTTCTTTTTTTTATCTTGTCTGTCTTGGAATTTGACTTTTGATAGAATTTGTTTTACCAATTTCAGTTAATAAAATAGTCTTTTTTTCTGGTTTGTGTTTCTAGGTAAATGAATAACTTTGCCTTTAATATAGGATTTAAAGTTCCAAATAGGGTGGTTTGAGTTTTTAAGAAGATATTGGAATTTTTCTGTATTTTTTTAATAGAATTTCATATCTAAAACACCAGTATGTTCATGTTTTTGTCTTTGAAGATTTCAAGGTCTAGAAATTTTATGGAATGCTTATTGCATTCATAAGTGAACTTTAGCAGGTAGTGTTGTTGAATAACTTGCATTTTCAAACAGGAAATCCAATTTCAATAAGTGGTAGGGATGAGCTGGTCACCATGGTCACTATTTCAAGCTTCATTACATATCTCATGATAAAATCTGGAACTTTAGATGAAGGTCAAGTTTTAAACTTGCCTGTTTAAATCACAAGTGTCTGAAACTTATTAGATATCAGAATCTTTTGATGTTTGTAAATGTTTCCAATAGTGGTCAAATCAATTATCTCTTAATCAATTTTCCCATGCATTCTTACCAGCTATTAATTTGCTGTTTGTGCTTTTAATCCAATTATTTTGACATTTTCACCTAATTTATAAATAAACATTATAAAATATGTAACAATAAAACACTACATTACTATCCTAAAAAGAAATTCTGATGTGTTTAGAGGAAATGGCAATATAACTTTCATCTGTTTAATATACTATAGGTCTATTATTTGTTCATAAATACATTTATATGCTTTTATGATACATTTTTGATAAGTAAAAATATGATATGAAAAGGGTGGGGTATGTGCTGGATACAAATTCTCCTGAAAATAGTGGTGTACGTCATAAATACAAGGGTAAACAAACAAAAATGTAGTTTTTAGTCAGGAATATGTGTTTGCGCTTAACTTTTAAATACACTTCTCTTGGTTATGGCTGCATATACATGTATTACTAAGTAAATTCCAGGATTTTTTTGCATATTTACACAGAAACAGATAAATTCCAGACAAAAAATTAAAAACTGGTGTCTTCCATAGGTATTGCTTCTGACCTGTACACTCAAATTTCCAGACATATTGACAGCATCATGAAAAAAATTCCAGGATTTTTAAGTAGTATTATAATTTCAAATGCTGGAATTCCAGAAAATTCTGGCAATGGTGAAAAATATTTCCATGGATTTTTTTTTTCACAACTGATGTCTTCCATAGGGGGGGGATGGTTTATTTCTGGAATAGCCCAATTTGAGGTGTTATAGCCCAAATGCCTTGAATTTTGAAATGGGATATAAATTTATAGTGAAAAAAACTGCACTTTTAAATTATTTAGCAAAAATATTGAAAAATGCAGTTGTTTGGTAGCAACTTTTGATGATTATCTTTTCAAGAAAATGGATAAGTTGCTACATTGATCACCATGAAAGACATCTCAAGTTATTACTGTTTTAGTCTCCTTATTGTACAGTTACATGTATCTGAGACTACTATAACACTGTTATAGTAGTCTCAGCATGTATCTGTACTTATATTCACTCTAAGTTTACCAAAAATATTGTCACTCAGTATCCAATTTTAGTTATTATTTAACTTTGGCTTTTTTTTTAGCCAAACTCATCAGTGACAGTGTTTTTTAAACATTTGAAATTAAATTCTCCACGTGGTGATATGAGATCAGATGAATACATCTAAAAACTTTTGGACATTAAACTGATTTACCTCCAAAGAAAGTAGGGTACCAAAATTTCCAGAGAACTTCCAAGAACTGAATATTGACCCGAGAACCGATAAATGTTACCAAATACTTTATTTTATACTGCTTTTATAGATATTAAAGTATATTATTTTGAGATATAAGTCATTTTTACTAAAAAAAAGTTAAATTTCGCTTCAAAATTCGATTTGTGTGTCTTGTAGTCAAGTTCCTTGCATAACACTGGGGCTGCTTCATTCATTCTAGTTCGGGCTATACCCTGTAAGCCCTATCACATGACCAGGTTAAAAGTGGCTGAAAAGTAAAACGAGTGGAACCGGCTGATTCATAGATGGAGACCAAAGTACAAATTTATACTTTTTGCTTTCTAAGCTGGGAAATATGAAAAAAATTAACCTGTTAATAATGAATATATGTTTTTTATATACAATCCTTTTTTCCGAGGCCTTATTCATCATAAAAAGTTTCTCAGAGATAATTTTATAAATTTGAAAATGAAATATGTCTTAGTAATTTATTATTGTCATAGTGGACCATTGCAGTATCACATTACAATATATATATGTAGTCGGATTGAAAAATGTTACAATCTTCATCTTTCAATTCCGACATTTTACCTTACATTGCGCTTTCCTCCATACTTTTTTGACTGGCTGATTGCTTGCCGGTGTGTTAAAACCGGCAAGGGAGGCGTATGCCTATATGCACTGGCGGCTGGTTTCTAAGCAAATGAAGCAACTGTGCCTATACCGGAAGCCTCTGTGGCAAATGAAGTACTACCAATATGGTGGACATAAAGTCACATAATTATTCAAAAGGTAGATAACTGTATCTAAATAAAAGAGTAAAAACGTTCAGAAGGATTAGTTTCTTTAATAATTAATGGAAATTTGAAAAGTAAATACATCATTTTGAAATCTTAAAGGAAGGTCCGGTAAGGGCTAATTTCGGCCTAAAATTTGAAATACATCTGTTGAAAGATTTTTGACATTTTTTAAACACTCATATGTCTACTTTAGTTGATTGAATTAGTTTATGTTAAATACTTGAACTGATTCGGTCATTAAAGACGCTCAAATTCAAGCTTAAGTATGAAAAATCTATCAAATATGCCATAAAACGTCACTTTTCAGATGGTTTTTTATCTAAAATGGAAGTGGCCGCATTCATGTTCAGTCTCAACATTTATATATGTTATGTATTATTATAAAATACAACATATATTTAAATATTAAGAGTGAACACAAGTGCGGCCACTTTCCATTTTAGACAAAAAACATCTTAAAATTAGCACAAATGCTTAAATTTGTGAAGATTTCAGTGTTTTTGCATGAAATAATAATGCTAGTACCTGATGCATTTCCATTACATTGTTAAAAACAGCCCATATTTATGTAACAAAAGTATTCTACTTTCCATTAAATAGCTAACATCTTATATTTTTTATATTTTTATTTAGACAGAGTTATCAACCTTTTGAATATTTACGTCAATATTCAGTTCTTGGGAGTACTTGTGAAATTGTGGTACCGTAGAAAGTTAGCTTTTTTTAATGTTTGGATTTGGCTGCATTTTTCAATCATGAGAGTAAATTTGTAACACTTACACTCTTTCACCATGTTCAGTATTGATCTGTCATTGTCTGTTCATGTGTTTAAAATTATTCCAAAATAAGTAAATCTATTGATGAATTTATTGATTTAAGATTGAATGTCCAGTGACAAATATAGCATGCATATTTATGACAATAACATTTCAATGAGAATACAAATATACACTGTTTTGAACTAGACTGACTATAAGAGTTGAATTTTTAAGACGTAGCTTACAATATTCAAAATATCACTATTTTCGGACACATTATTCTGACTCCAAGCTGACCAGTCAGCTCTTTTTCAGTTTTGTTTTGCTGAGAAGCAAATACCAATTTTAGAGTTTTTGGTTTTGTCTCAGACAGGTACATGTATTAAACCCATGACCTCACACAATCATTTTAAAAGGCTATCACAATAGAACCCAAGCAGTTCAATACACCAATAACTACAATGTATTGAAAAACCAGAAGCCTTAAGACCAAAATGAGGAACAGCATATATATGAATGTTAATTTTCGCTCATATAAAAATAAGAAGATGTGGTATGATTGCCAATGAAACAACTCTCCAACAGAGACGAAAAGATGCAGAAGTTAGCTATTTTTTGTAATATTTGCAAGCAACTACAATTTGAGAATATGTAGACCGACAAGTGCCAGAGGGATGTTTTTCTTCTCCAATAATTACAACAATAAGGTATTAGTGCATAAACAAGGAATTAATTGAATCTGGAATAATTTTGAATTCTGAAAAATTGATAAGAAATGTATGATGAAAACTAACCCAACTAATGCACGCATGGCTAAGGGTGGTTAGTTAGTTCATACTGAAATATCAGTGAAAGTAAAATTAATCTTAGCCATGCGTGCATGGCTAACCCTATTTAGGTGGGTTAATTTTCATCTTATCAATTTTCCAGAATTCCAAATTATTCAATATTCAAATAATTCCTTGTTCATAATTTAATCATAGATCTTTTATCATGTTTATTTTATTATTTCTGTTAATTTTTTCAATTTTTAGTTTTAAAGACGGGATGATTCAGAGCTTGTCATATATGACATATATAACAATGTCATATATGACATGTATAACAATGTTATACATGACATGTATAACAGCTTTGTATTGTTGAAAACTGTATGTTACATTCTAAATATCTTCTAGTTGTACCGCCTCTGTGGTCTCGTGGTAGCGTGTTTGCCTCAAGTGTGGGAGGTCTTGGGTTTGAACCCTGGTAGGCTGCTTAACACATGCACTGGATGTTAAGCAGCCATCCATCATCTTCATCTTCTAGTTATTTTTGTCATTGGTTTGCTGTCTCATAGACATACAAAACTAATTTTTTTCAATTGCACAACCTTAATATATTTTGTAGGTATCACAGTCTGTTGTTAGACGACTTAAAGGGGAAACAGAATCTGAACCAAAGACTGATCATACTGGTAATTTATTTTCAAAATAGCTGTGTTGTTCTTTTTATTTTAGGGCACAAGTTCTAATAGCAAAAAGTTGTTGAGTTGACCAAGATCCCTGATGTACCTATTCTGATTTTCAGTTCTCCATAGTTCATGAGAAATTTGGTGGATAATAACAGACTACATGTACAATAACATGCATAAAAAAATCACAATCATTCAAATGTATTGAGTTTTTGCACAGTTCTGTCAAATACTTGAAAGAACTTTTAACAACTTTTTGGATCTGGTAACCTTTTCTTACAGAACAATGAGCTGATCATCATCATCTTATTTCTTGTCATTCAAATTTCATTTTTTTTGTGATGACTTATGATCAACTACCACATTTTCTATCTTTACAATTTTTATAAAAGGAATACATTTTACTTCCCAAAATTTAGTTTCAATTAACCTTTAAGTTGGTAATGTTTCCAATTCTTCAAGCACAAGAAGGAGGAAAGAACAGTTAGAAATGGTAAATGCTAATAAAAAAATTTAAAAAAAATTGAAATTATTTATGTTTTATGGTATTTTGAGAATTAAGAAAGTCTGAAGATTGCCCTCAGAATTAAACACATATTTGCCTTTGATAACCAATACTAGTCTGTCCTGTTGACACAGTTATATTTGATGAAGAACAACTAACAAGTCCTGTTATAGTACAAATGACAATTTTATCTGAAAAAATTACTTGCAATGTTAAAAAAATGTAGATTTCAGAGCAGACACATAAAATATCTGGCATGACACTTGATTAGGACAGGGTAAAATGTGATTATGTGTGAAGAAATTTACAGGAAGTAGAAATCTAGTATGTATCCTCAAAGCTATTGATAAAAGTACATTTTTATGTAATTATGGAAGATGTTTTATTTGTGTTTTTTCAGAAACTAGAAGGGAACAATTTAGTGATTCCATTACAGTAAGTTAGCTGTCATTAGTTTAAACATATTTTTAATGTTCAAAGGACAAATGGATCAGACATAAGTTGTTTAACTTAGTAACATATTCTCCATTCTACCTGTCATTGGCATTAAACTTTTTATATTAATGACCATACATGACATATGCCTTTGCATTAATATGAAAAGAAAAAAAAAATGCTTTTAAGTTTAACTTGCATTGGACTCTGATAAAGTTAATGAATAAATAATATTCAAGCCATTTTGCACTTTGATATTAAAGAAAGTTTGGTATGAAAAAGATTAAAATAAAAGTGTTCATGGGGTTATAGGTTTCATAACGAGTGAGAATTGGATATTGTTTGATATCAACTCAAGTTATTTAATTTCAATATAATGATAAATGAGCCTTCGTTTTGCAAGTTTATTACCACTATTTTAATTAAATAACGAGGGTTGATATCAAGCGATATCCAATTCTCACTCGTTATGAAACCTATAACTCAATGAACACTTTTATTTTAATCTTTTTCACTCTCATTGTGTAAAATTAAAAAAATCTAGTCTTTTGCACATACCAGTATGACGTCATATGTCCTGTTACGGCGACAAACTTTAAAATCAGACATTTTGAAACTTTTTGTACACTCCAGTATGTAATAAAATATGACAAAAAGAAGATTTTCAGGTGAAAAGTTTAAGTGTTTTGTATGTTACTGAAGAAATCACATATGTCTGTTGCCATTGACGAAATGTACATCGTCTTAACCTTCGAAAGTCATCAATGACCTAACAAATAGCCAATGGAAATGTCATAATATCGTCTCATAATGCTGATAAAGCCAATCAAATAAACGCAGTTTTCATATCACATTCTTTAGTATCACACTCAGTGCAGTGTGCTACGAGAAATATCGCGTCATGTGCATGAAATAGATAACAGGCCACAACCATAATAGAATTGTGATTATTGATATTGTTTGGTAAAGAGTAATATATTGAAAAATTTAAAAAAAATAAGGTTTAGAATAGCAAGAATAGATGTTATCACATTTGAATGAATAAAATTGATGTACAAAAAAAATGTAACATCAAGGTTACAGCAACCCAAAAACACACATAAACAAAAAATATCTCTGCATTAAATGGTCAACACTCTTTAACAGCAGACTGCTATCTATTCATCTGACTGCACTTGACTCTTATTTTATATGTCTAAATGTTTATTTTGATATGTATTTATTTTAACAGGAAACAAGAATCCCTAGGGAACCTTCACAAGAAGTCAAGAAATTAGAGAGTTATTATCAAAGCAAACTTGCAGAATTAGAAAAGAGGGTAATTTAAATACATATTTTACAGTTCAAATGTGTATTGTAATAACCAGTATTAATAGTATAATAAAGCAAACCCTAAGAGGGCCAAACAATTCAAAACAAACTGAACTAACAAAATGTAACCAAAGACTTTCATCTGTGAACAAAAATAAAGAGAAACATTTGAGATAAGGAATATAAGACATTCATACATGTTTAAATGTAGTACATACAATATGTGATGCATGTAGGAGTCTTTTCTGGATTAACTGTCATCATGAACTCTCAAAATCCACAGCTGTATTTCTTCACACCAATATTCTAGAGTTATCTGTATTGAGCATTTAATTATACATGTGAAGTCACTATTATATAACTGGCAATTCATTTCTACATACATGAAGTAATGGGATGACTATGTTCAAGAGTTAAAGTAGTTTAAAAGTAAGAGAAAAATGAATTACTTTATAGTTTTCCAAAATATAGTATTAAATACATGTATCAGATTACATGTATTTAAAATCTATGATAAATCTTTTTCAACCTACAGTTTGTGTAAATTTCTCTTATTTCATAGACTATATAGGAGAGAACACACAATTATGTGGACTGAAAGAAAACTAGGTGATATAACTTTAAAATTAAGTTTGAGGACTCCCCTAATATCATGTCAGTACCAAAGCACTGACTACTGAGCTTATGATACCCTCTGATATTATCAGTCCACCAGCAGAGGTCTCTACCCAGTGCTAGAAAATGAAAATAACACATTATTAACTTGGAGGGTCAAGTTTTTTTGTGGATTTAACTTCATCAGGAACATAGGAACATGACAGTTCATAATATTTTTTGTGCATCAAAATCAGGTAAATTACTGGTTGCATTTCTATATTAAAGGTGATTAATTTTGGTAAAAATTTATATCAATCATTTTACATCCAAAATGGCCACCATGATTTTCATTTCCTTGAACTACCTTAAACTTTAAAATGGGGATTTTCTTTTTTCATCTAGGCAATAGTTGATATAGTTGTCATCTACAATGAATTTTACTGAATTCTGTATTTTCTTCAGAATGCATCTTTATTAAAACAAACTACAGCACAGTTTGCCGAAGCAGTACAGGAAGTAGAAAAGAAATTCTTGTAAGTATTAGAATCAAACTGACGTTCGAAAGAATTATATTTTACAAGTATGACTTTGAGAAATTTTGAAATGATTGTCACAAATATTTAACAACCAATCTAGGGGTAAATTGGGAAAGAAGAAAGAGCATAACATACCTGCAAACTTTTGGAAAATAAAGACTCATCACAAGAGGACCAACTTCATCTCTGTAAAATCTTGTCATAACTGTTTTTATTGCTATTTTACGAAATTTTCCTTTGATCTTGCTGACTGATAATTTCCTTTCTCAGCAGAGTCGAGTGATATGAAAAATTATCGCTAGAAACTAAAGGGGGCACATGGCGTTTCTAATGAAATTGACAACGTCGTCATAGGTAAAATAGCGATAAACAGATTATCATTGGTCATCTCAACTCGATTGCTTTTCTCACTTTCGCCGTACCGGCTCAAGCGAGAAAATCAATCTCGTTGAGATGATCAACTATAATCTATAATTATCTAATATACTATATATAGTTATGAATGAGTATATACATGCTTACATGTAATTTAAAGTTAAACTCCTTTAAATGTTTGTTTTGAGGGTTCTTTTTATTTTAAAGTAATGGAAAATGTTAAAGGAAAAATCCAGAGAAAAACAAAAACCAGAACCGATTTCTGTGCAAATGCTAAAGTCAGAAAGACTTTTGGATCACTAGTATATTGCTTTTATGTTGAATTTTCTCCATATTGATTTTTCTAATGTTATTGAGGATTTTGTCCTTTATTACATTGATATACATTTATAACAAGATTTATAATAACACTAAATAACATTACATTAGGAAAACAACAGGGCCTCAAGTATGTACAGACTTACAGACCAAGGTTTACCAGTGTTATCAAGCTAATCCTGACCAGACTTTAGAATGTTCTTCGGTTGTAAAAGCCTTTGTAGATTGTGTAGAAAGGGCTAGACAAGTAAGTTTCATGTAGCAAGTACAATATATTTTTCTGGGTAAGTTGTTTATCATGAAACATCTAAAACATCTATTTTGCTATTACTTTTTTAACCTTTTAAAATTTAGTTGGAATGCCTAAATCATCAGAGATTTCATTTTTTTGGAGTACATAAAAAAATATACAGGTTTCCCAGTACTTTTTGACAATCTTTAGTCAAGTTACAATGAGTTGTGTTACTTATTGAGCAATGGTTATCAGTTTTTTGGGGGGAAATTGCAAATAGTTGATTTTTCTTTGGAAAATATTTTAAGCTCAACAAAAATTTTACATTCATCTAGCCTGTCAGAAAAAGTGTTGACCTTCTACATTTAGCATAAAGAAATAATTCAAAATTAATATATACTAAAAATAAATTATTGATTTCAAAATAAATAAAGAGAATCACAGACTTTTTTGAGTGGTAAATCAAATATGTTAATTTTCTACTATGGTAAATTATAAACAGTTATTTCTCCTGAAAAAAGACGCACAGAAATCAATGACAGCATTATTTACTTTTTAATGACTGAATTTTTAATGCAGTAAACATTATTACAAAAATCCTTAAACATGCGCTTTGAATTAAATAATTTATCCTATTTCTTTTTCAGAATGCACTTTTACGGAAAGGATGACCTTAAACTAAGAATAGATGACTCATAAGACTTTAAATGCATTTTAGAAGTTTTTGAAGTGGAAATAATCGTTTAATGACTGATGTAAAATCTTGTTTGATATACGAATTATCATGATGTTTGAAGATTGTGCCTGTTTTGTAATATGTGAACAATTATTAAATAATTGATTATTTGTTATTTTTTATTGGCTTGTTGCAATAGATATTGGTATCATTACGTCAATTGATGTTGTAAATTTCCATCTGTCTCCATATTTATTTAATTTTATAAATTATCATGTCTATGCATGACCTAAGAAAACCCACACATGGTAAAATTAATCTTGATGTATTGCATGGATATAGTTATCATTGACTGATTGATTGTTGGTTGCTTATCCTCCAACTACATGATATTTCAGGCTTATTCAGGACAATAATAGATATCAAGTTATGCTATTTCTGTTCTACAGTTTTAGATACTGTTATTTATTAAAGTAGAATGTAGTGTGAACAACAACTAGCATTCATTTCCACTCAAACCTGTGCGAAGAACTGTTTTAAACTTGCAATGATACGAGTTTTTGCTTCATGTTGAAGGCCTTACTTTGACTTTGAGATGAAGAACATCAATTGAAGCACCATTCCATTACTTTTGGTTTTTGTCTGGCCTCTAGAAAGTCATAAAAGTGAGACTTAGACAGGATGTTTCTGGCGGCATCAACATGTATGATTGTGAAAATTTGTATGTACTAACATTTCAAGTTTTGAAATGTCTTGTGTGGTTCATGAAAATTTTGGTTTTCTCTTTTCTCCTAGTGATATCTGTATTTTGTTTTATATTTCTTAATGTGATTACTACATTGCGTTAAAAAAAAATGTAAAATTGAAAATTACTGATGCATTTTAAATACATACTATATATCGATTTTATGAATAATTTATACAGAAATATTCATACATGCTGAATGGCTAATTGAAATAACAAGCTTGTTCCTAACAGCAGTGGGGCAGTTGACCTGTTGTAAATGTGAAATTGTGATCCCGTTAAAAATTTCTTCATTTCAAATTATGATTGGATTGGACATTGGAAGTTAAGCCAAAAAGATTTTCAACTAGAATAGAGAATGGAAACGGGAATGTGTCAAAAAACAACAAACCGACCAAAGAATATAAAACAACCGAAGGCCACCAATGTGTCTTTAAGGCAGCGAGAAAATCCAGCACCTAAACAATTATGTACACTAGTTCAATGAAATAGACGCCACACTATAAAACTCCTAAACATACAAATGAAACAATATTTAAAAAACACAACTTGCAACCTAACCTGCATTTAAATTCACAAAATGCAAAACATAGCTATTACATTTTGTGTGAAGTTCATGTAAATAATTGAAAATACCTAAATGTCTTATTTTCCATCTTTCAACTAGATTAAAAAAAATTGTATGCAGATGGCTTGTAATGTGACATGATCAGCCTAATCAATGACATCTAGCCTTGATCTCATTTTTGTGCCCCTTTCACACACTTCTTTTCTGATGCCTTTTGTCCAAAAGTGTTCATACTTGTATATAATTAGTAAGATTGTTTGTCATCATGTGTACTTGATTTTACTATAGTCATTTTAATTTGTCATTTATCCTGGGAGTTATGAATTTGACCATTTTTGGGCCATTGTGGCATTAATGACACCATGTAAACCCCTTTCCTTCAAGGTCATGTGTGAAGCATTCATATTCATAATTCATGATATAGTTAGCCATCAAGTGTAGTTGATCTCTGACACCATCACTGTTTGGTTGGACCCCATTTTCAGTCAAACAATTTTTAGGCACTTTTTTTTATACCTTTTGTATTCCTCATCCTCCCTTAAATTTTCTGATAATATTTGTGGTCACTTCTTAAGGTTACCTTCAAGTTAAAATTAGAAAGGCAAAATTTTCACAACAATGTCTAAATTCTGAAAAATGACCGCATTTATATTGAAATGTAAACAGTAAAGGAAATAATAACAATAGCACATTAAAATACTATATGTGTGTGGCCTTTTCTCTGCAGTCTTCTCTTGAGACATACAATGTATTATAAGGGGTATGAGGCATATATCCAAGGTGGAGACATTTTATAGATTAAAATCATTCATCCAGTATGAACATGGCAAAATTAGAACCACTGCAGGACTCCAAAAGGCTTTAGGGAGGGGTCTGCAAATTTGATAACTAAATTCAAAATTATTGCGTGCATTTATTATTGTGGTTTTTTGAAGAGTTTCAGGAGAATCTGCATACTGATATTTGTATAAGATATTAGAATGTAAGTTCTTATTATTGCAATACTCACCTAGTCGCATTATTCGCATTTATAAAAACCTCGCAATAATTTCTGAATTTACAGTAAACATCTTAATAGAAACCAACTATGCATATGCAAATTCATTAAATTTGTAGTGATTCTTGATTAATATGCATACTGTGTTTCTTACTCTCAAATCTTATTTGACATTTGTACAAAATCTCTTTTTATGATATAACATTTTTCATCACCTTCATTTCAAATTTTTCCTGACTCAAAAAATATTGACTTTCCAAGTTGTTGATGTAATGTGCCATTTAATTAATAATTGAGACAGGTGAAAAAAGACTCCATGAAAGACATTTAAAGTCCTGGTTTTTTTTTATTTATTTTTGTTTTCTGTACAGGATTTGTATTCAGATGAATATTTTTTCAATTAGTATCAAAAGTTCAAGCAGTAAAATTACTGATCTGTAAAATAGTGATATTTTATGCATTATTTTATTACATCTTAATTTCTTGTTTTATGGTAAATTCTAGTTCATTTCCGTCACATCTGAATTTTATGTGCTGTGCATATCTGATTTTCATCAGTTTAGACATGCACTACAGTTCTGAAGCTGATCTACAAGGCAGAAATCTCATCTGTGGTTGTCTTCCTGTCTCTTCATGATTTTGTCCGATGATAGTTTTATGTTTATTTTTTTGGTAGTCTTTCTTTTTTTATTCCCAAGTTGTATATTGATTTTAATTGCGTTGAGAGTTTATCATATAGTGTAGGTAGTTCGACATGGTTGACTGTATGGTGACTTTTAGAGGTCTATTTGTTTCACTTTTGCTCTTAGATTGCTGTCTCATTGACATGGCATCTTTTATTTTTATCTACAACAATTATGAAATAGACTTTACTGCAAAAACTACATGTATGAACCAGGTGTCTTTCAACTAGTCAATTCTATTTCAATTTTATTTAAAGCTATTTAAAAACAAGTTAGGGGTTGAAACTAAAAGACTCATTTGATACTCAGATAATATATATGGTCAAGTCATATATAAATGTTTCACCATAGTAATATTGATTCTAATATCCAACATTTATGTCTCACCTGCAATGAACCACTGAAAGCAAGACATAGATGTTTTTGTTTTTGCTTTAGATGCGGCTGAGGCATCAACAATTGTTAAGTTTTCTGCTTATTAAGTCAGTTTGATAGGAACTACTTGTGATAGATCAATGGTATTTTCTATAAAAGTTAAATTACTATTAGCACATATCAGTTTGATGACTATTTCGAGGCCATGCCTCCTAGGACATGGTCCAGTGACACCCAATTAATTAGCAAGTTTCAATGTTAAGTTTCTGCTTAAGTCAGTTTGATAGGAACTACTTGTGATAGATCAAAGATATTTTCTATAAAGTTGCATTACTATCAGCACATTTCAGTTTGACGACTATTTTGAGGGGCATGGTCCTGTGTCAACAGTTGACTTTAAAAACCTCTTGATGACATCTAAAATTAAACTGACCAATTTTCATGGATTTTGTGAGTATAGGTAAACAATAAATCACAACGTTCGATGAAGAAATTTTATATAGGCTCGTATGCTGACTTAGGCAAAACCATGAAATTAAATATCCAAAAAAATACTATTTTCCCTCAATCCATGAAAAGTAATACCAACTAAAATAAATAAAAATACGCAGTAACTCAACTGATTTTTGTTTTCAAATATGGCTTTCTATGAATAAAACAAATGAAGAAAATAACTTTAATACATGTTTTATTAAGACAAAAGATAGAATTTCTGGGGGGAAATCACAGATAAATTCAAAAGATCCAGGAATGTTATTAACATATTATGTAATAGCACCTATTTCTCACAACTATGAAAATTCAACAATTTTAAACACAAATAACTAACAATGGTATAAATAATCTCACAAAAATACTTTTTATTTCATTTCAGTAATACTCTCTTTTGGTATACTCACATTTCAGACCCATAAAATTTGACATATTTAAAGTAATATAGAATAAGAAATTGTAAGACATCACTTACATGGGAGACAACTCAATATTTTGCAGTGAAATTTGATATTTGAGTTAATCGTTTTATCATACACCCATTATATACCACTGGAACTCAAAATTACAATATGAAGCCTCTTTTTGCCGCAAATGTTTTATTTTGTGTGAACTGCTACTCATCAACAAAAACAATTGAATTTATCTAAATGAAAGAAAATTAATTTTTAAGAGCATTTAAAATAAATATAATATTTTTTCTGTAGTTGCTGAGAATTATTTTTAATTGAAAATGTCATTTCACTAAATTATAAAAGAGAAATCGATAGAACAACCAATTTGGTACATCTTCATAACTATTATGCATATTACATAACTTGTACACGTATGCAAAAAAAAAGATTACAACCCTTATCTGAATTATTCAAATTAAAGATGGAATTATTTAATCAAATTGTCGATTTAGAATGTATTCACCGAGATTGAACTTAAACAGATACCAATTTTGTTAGGATAATTAATTAATTCATACATACAGTCAAAACTACATAATAATGAGAGCAATATATGATGAAATGATATTACTTTATTGCACATGCTATACCCAATTCATGTATTATGTCAATATGAAGTCATGGAGTTATTATGTGAAACATGTCAAGGAGTTGTTAAACAAAACAGGGAGCAAAACATTACTACACACAGGAAAAAGGGATGAAAATTTGTATACATGAAGCATGTTAAAAATTTGTAGTCATAATGCAGCATATCTTAGTGGATGAGACTCTTCATTGGGTAAAACTCAGAATATGAAAAGCCATACTCTTCAAATGAGGGTTCTAGAGATAGACTTTTGTTTTTTTGTCAAAAGTACTGTAACCAAAGTTATCCAATATGGAATTACAAAATTATTTCAAGACAAAACTTGTGGTCTTTGACTTTTTTCATACCAGATACATATTCAGACCAAATATATCAATTTCAAATTTGTATTATTTACTAACATAAATAGCTGTGCCAGGAGTGCAAGATACACTTTTCTTTTGCATATAGAAATTGTTGCAAGAATAAAATGGAACATAAAGAAGTTTTTTGATCAGCATTCAGTAAAATGGCAGTTTATAAAGTTGCATAAGGATGTCATTAGGCATCTAAATATTGCCTAAATTACAACTTGAAAAGTCCAACAACTCTGGAATATCAGACCAGAAAATTTTCAAAATCAAAAGGGCGCCTACATTCACAATGAACATACTAGAGCTAGAAGTGTGTGACATGTGAAAAATAACCTTAAATCTGAAGGTTAGTCCCATAAGTCTGGAATCAAAATTAAGAAAATTTTCAAAATCAAAACTTATCTTACTTTTACTAAAAGGCAATACCAACAACTGTGTAAAGTTTTAAGTAAATCTATTCAAGCATTCTCAAGTTAGTGTACAACTTGTGAAAAATCAATTATAGTCTGACTGATAAAGTTTCATAACTCTAAAAAGACAAACCAGAAAATATTCAAAATGGTAAGGGAGTTTCCTTTAATCAACCCAAATAACTGCATAAAGTGTTGGGCAAATCAATCTAAGCATACTCTAGTAAGTGTGCAATATGTGAAAGATTGCTTTAAATCTGACAGTTAAAGTCCTGTAACTATCGAGCGACAAATACGCTTTCTTTTATCAATCCCAACAACTGCAAAAAGTTTTAAGTAAATTGATAAAAGCAAACTCAAGTTAAGTAAGTGTGTGACGTGAAAAAAGCCTCAAGTCTGAGGGTTAAAGTCCCATAACCCTGGAAGGACAAACCGAACAAAATTTCGTAATTATCGTACAACATGTTGACATACGGACGGACAGACTATGGTATACCATAATTAAGTCCTGTCGAGGACAGGTATATATAAAAGAAACCAAACATGAATGTGTAATAAAAACAGAAGAGATCTTCAATTGTACAAGTTTGCATGTACTATTATATTTCTTCTGCAATTTATGCATTCAGAAAAACTCATTAAATGTTTTAATTTACAAGAATGTGGAGAAATATCTAAATTCTATAAACTCAACATGTTTAAACTGTGCAATCTAATATATATGTAAAAGATATGATTAACAGTTCTTCTATATTCATAAGTTCTAATACAATGGGGGTAGTCACCCGGTTGTTCATATGATCAAAACTTAAATATTCAATTATATAATATTCAGTCAAAATGGTAAAAAAAATCTCCCATTTCACGAAATTTGTAGTAAATTAAAACATTCAAATCAGCCTGTTTAACTTCAACATACTAAATTATAATCTATTACATAATAAACTAAACTACAATATACATATATGTGATAAAAAAAGAAATATGTAAACCACAACCTTAAGCAAGTATGAAAAAATAACCAAAAAAGTAAACTTTGTATTATGCAACAAAAAATAACAAAATAAACAAAAATAAATAACAATTAGGATTTCAAAAATTTCATATGGAATGTTGGTATAGGATTTCTTTTTTCTGCATCATCTTTAAAGAGCTGTCTGCATATATATACAGAAATTTACATTTCATAGAACTAGAAAGAAACTCAACAAAAATAATCAATCATAATAATAAAGTTTGTAGTATCAAAGGAAAATCATTCTTAGTCTTCCCAGATCAAAACATTGTCAATCTTTAAATACATTTTTAGTTCTTTCTTAAATTCTATTATTTAAGATTTTTACCTACAGATATAAACTGGTATAAAAGATTTTTGGTTCAAGTACATTTTCCTTCATAATTTTGACAGCAATGATTCAAATTTAGTTTTTTTTTTTATCTAGTTGAACCTTGATAATTACAAAAGAATATTTTCAATTACTGCGGATTCATTATTATTCGTTGGATACCAATTTTCGTTGATTTCGTGGGTACAGGAGAACCACGAATTTAAATGTTCAACGAATTACAAGTTTTCTGAAGAAATGTATGCAGACTTTGTTAAAACAACAAAATCAAATATCCACGAAAATGCTAGTTTTCCTCAATCCACGAAAATTGGTACCCACGAAAATAAATGAATCCACAGTATAATACATCAAACCTTGTTATTATTTAAGAATTGAGATAATCAAAAGACTTGCAGTGCTTAATTAACCAATCATATGCTCCTAGTCACCACATTTTTTTTTGGCATTCAAATTTTGAGAATGAAATAAAAACAAATGTGAATTCTCCATAACCAAGTGAAAATTTATAACAAGAAAAATAACATAATATGAATTAACAACCATACATTCATTTACTCCATAAAAATTTACTTTTACATTGCCTCTCAAATTCCTGTAAAGTTGATGTTTTATACAAACCAAGTTTAACACAATTTTTCTTCCTATTTTCATTAAAATGTTTAACAGGAAATGGATTAAAAGGCTTTTCCATTTTTGCTGGTTTGCTTTTACTTTTGGCATAATCACTCAGGGCTTGGTCAGTTGAAAATGACCTTGACCTTGATGTCAGATTGTCCTCTGCTTCAAATGTCCCACTGGGATCTGCTGAGATGGATCGTTCTACAGAGGCCTTTTTTGAATCATGATGGACACTGTTCAATGGTGATCTTTCTCCACTACTGTCTGACTTTGATTTACTGTGAGCTATGAATTCATGTGATGCAATGGAACCATTATGGTTACAACCACTTTCATCTCGTTTCTCTGTTTTTAAGGGAGATAATTCACTGGAATTTGTTTTCGGGGAATTATCAATTTCGAGAGAGTTGGTCGTTGAGAATAATCCAGAATCATTTGACAAATCTAAACATCCTTGAACATTTTCAGAACCTTCAATTACTAAAGAGTGTCTATGAGGATCATTGTTATACGTATTGCACTTGTCTGTGATATTGCTAACATTTTCATTCAATTCTGTGTCGCTGTTTGCAGATTCGGTCTGGTATGTTCCTGAATTTTGATTTTCAACAACATGTGAATTCTGACTAGACTTATTTGTGTCATCTACTACGCTGAGCGAAATCAAAGAATCAACTGGAGTGTTTGAGCTAGAATTTTTCAAATTTCCACTAATATACATATGATTATCAAGTTCATTCTCGTCCTTACTATGTTTTGATTCTGTAGTTATATCACAGCTCTCAGCTACTGCAGAATCATGTCTGCCTACCTGATCCTCCTTTTCATTATGATTATCATCAATGTTTTTAATATCATTATTCTCTTGAGCAATATTCATATTTCTATCAGTTTTGACAATGTTTTCACATTCAACATTTTTTTCAGTCTTAACACTTTGTCCTTTGACCCCTAACTCTAATTTGGAGTTTTTCTGAATACTATTTCTCCTGGATGGCGGATCATTAGTCAACTGTGGGTAAACTGACGCAATACGAGGACTAGCTGTGACACATCTATTCCTGGACGTGGCATTATTCCTGCCAACAAACAGATGATTAAGAGCCGTTGGGGTTTCTATTTTTGGTGTAATTATCTTTGGCTTTTTCTGGTGCTGCTGCTGACTTGCTGATGCCGCTGTAAAAGAAAACATCAATTTCAATTAAAATGTTAGTATTTGGTAAACTAAACCTGCTGTTGCAGTGTTTTGTTATTAATTCACTGTGCAATGATATATTCGCACATTTAGCTGTCATTTTGAAAATATCTTATTTCACATCATTAGCAGAGTGAAAAAATTCAAACAGATTGTGAATATTATAATCCTCAGTTCTGTATATCAAAGCAAAGATCTGTGTTTAAAAAATCTTTTCAAACTGTTGTAAAATTTGCTACTTGAAGTAAAAATTGAAAGAATATTGGAAAACTAATTTTTTTTTACACTGATTATAAGACATGCCAAGCAACTGCACTGTGTGCCATTACAAAATTTGATTCTTATTGTATTAAAACAACATCAAAGTGCAATAAGAAGATTTCAAATGTAATAACATCAAGTAAACTTCATTATGATATGAATAAATAGGATTTTAGGTCAGTTTGAGTGGGATGTATATACATAGAAAAATTTTACATGTTGTTATTTAATAAGGAAACACATTGTGCATGTTGTGTGACATGACACAATTCAGATATTTTTCTTAAAAGAATGAATATGAATAAAAAGAAAATAGGTAATATGTTTACGAGAGAGTAACTCAAAGACACAAAATACACATAAGATCTTTAAACTAGAGGCTCTTTAGAGCCTGTGTCGCTCACCTAGGTCTATGTGCATAACCAATAATGGACTCTCTCCAACAATGTAGACAAGAATAGAATTCATGAAAAAAATTTCATTTTTGTTGATCTTGTATTGCTGATCATTTTGTCTGTTAAGTTTCTCTCTATCTTCTGTAGTTTTTGCTCAAAACACAAAAGAGGGTAAAAAAAATCCACATTTAAGGGCAATCACTCATATGAAGAGTGACAGTCTACTAACTATATCAGAAAAATTTGCCTTGCTGATCATTTTTGTTATTTTTAAAAAGTTTCTATTTATCTTTTATAATTTTTATCATATATGGCAAAATGCAAAATAAACTGCTTTGCTGAGCGCAGCTGGATACGCCTGCAGAGGTCCAACCCTGAACAGTTGGGGCAAAAATGGACACAATATTCAAGCTTGATACAGGTCTGAAATTGGATTGTAATTAAATATTTGACATATTATAGGTTTCTGAATAAATGTAGTCAAAGAACTTGAAATTGGTTATATGAATTGAATTTATATTCAATTAAAGATTTCTTGCTGTTGTGCAATACACTCTGCTGTTGTGCAATACTTAGTAAATCTGTTGTCAGACTATAAACAAATAAAGTTCAATTTCTTCTCAATGTCATATTTGAAATTTATGAAAATCAATAGGGAGATTACATCAATAGCTATAAATAATTCACCAAAGTTTCATGAGAACTGCTGAAAGTATTTTTGAGTTATTGTCCAAAAACTGGAAAATCCTCCCTTTTTTAATGAATAAAACCCCATAACTCAGAAATGTAAAATCTAAAATTTATAAAATTCTAAAGGGAGCTTACATCAACAGATATAAACAATTCACCAAAGTTTCATGAGAACTGCTGAAAGCATTTTTTAGTTATTGTACGAAAACTGGAAAATCACCCTTTTTTTATGAATAAAACCCTGTAACTCGGAAACGTAAAATCTAAAATTTGTAAATTGAAAGGGGAGCTCATGTCAATAGATATAAACAATTCATCAAAATTTCTTGCAAGTTGGTGAAAGCATTCTTGAGTTATTGTCGGAAAACTGGAAAATCCCCCCTTTTTTAATGAATAAAACCCCAAAACTCGGAAACAGGAAATCTGAAATTTATAAAAAACGAAAGGGGGCTCACGTCAATAGATATAAATTCAACAAAGCTTCATGCATATTGGTTAAAGCTTTTTTGAGTTAATGTTTGACATGTTGACAACGGACGGATAGACGGTCAATGGTATACCACGTCATTAAAGGGCAATAACTCCACTAAGGAGTTGTTGGAAAATTTCCTCCATATTATCTTAAATGTAGATCTTATCTTGTTGATCATTTTGTGCTTGTTTCTTTGTATCTATTATAATTTTTAAGATATAAGGCAAAAACGCAAAATATCAGTAAAGGTCAATAACTCTAATAAGGAGTCGACTGACAATTACAACCATGCATACTTATTTGTAGATCTTGTCTTGCTGATCATTTTTGCAACTTAAAGTATCTCTCTATCTATTATAGTTTTCATGGTAAAAGGCAAATGTGAAAAAAATGGTAAAATTTGTCTTTTAAGGGCAATAACTCCTATAAGAAGTCGCCTGATAGTTTTGACGTCAATGATCAATTGGTAGAGCTCAACATTCTGAACATTTTTTGTCAGATTTTCTCTATTAATAATGGTTTTCAAAATAATAGACGAAACTTGCATTTTACCACTATGTTCTATTTTTAACCATCTTGGTTGGCAGGTGGGGTCATGGGACACATTTTTTAAACTAGATACCCCAATGATGATTATGGCCAAGTTTGGTTAAATTTATTCTAGTAGTTTCAGAGGAGAAGATTTTTGTAAAAGTTAACGGATGACGACAAAGGAAGACGGACGACAAGTGATGAGAAAAGCTCACTTGGCCCTTTGGGCAAGATGAGCTCAAAATAGATAAGTGTCCATATAAATAATATAAATTTGTTTGAAACTTCCTTTTTTTTACTTCTAGATTTTGTGAGTGCTAATATGACCAAAAATGGTGAAATGCTCAAAAGTGTCATACTGCTGTGAACGTAATGATCTCTGTATGTATTTGTATTTGTTATTGAAATGTATATCTGCAAGGTAAATACTTCTTAGTTAATGTTATGCTGTAGTTTTAGACACCAAATAAGGTCCAATGTATGCTTATTCATCTTTTCAAACACAGATACCTAATTTTAATAAATCTATTTGCAAATAGAGATTTTGAACTTAAGAAAATGCCTGCTCCATCTGAATGTATTAATTTTCATACATAAGTTCTCAAAAACTATTGGCAATTGCCAAATATAGAATTTCTCATCGGTTTTTAATTCTGTGCATCTGTTTGACTATTTTATTTAATGTATTGACCTAAATTTTATGACACAAATCTTGTTTAATTGTTTAAAAACATTTAAAAGATAAAATCATATTTGTCAATTTTATACCTCACATTTGCTGTAATGAACAAAGAACAGGATAACTGCATTTTGAAAATCAATGATAATCTACAATATGCTGAATGATTTTATTCTTAAAAAGAAACATTTTAATGATGCAGTATGTGCAATGTGCATATAACACTTTTGTTAAGAAGAGAGATTTTAAATACATTTGTATAATCACCTTCATGCTTTGATGCATATTTTTTTTTTTTACAAAAAAGATTACCATTTAAAGAGAGAAATTTGAAATTGCAGGTAACCATTACATTTTTCAATTTGAAAAAATTGAACCACATAGTGATTTTTGTTATTTACAGATAAGTTGCACATATTTTGTTTCATTGTAAAATCAAATACTGCACCATATGTTTCAAAGTAGCATATTTATTGAAAAGAGACTTGAGGTAAAAGGTTAGAGAGTATGCAGACAGATAAATAAAATGTTTTGAATCTTTGGTTGATAAAATAAACTGTTGACACAGATGTTTGTCTTGCCTGTATATAATTTTTATAGCAAAATGCAAATGTTGAAATCAAAATAGCAATACTTTTAACATGTAAATTATGCAAAATACTCAATGAACAATGACTGAAGAAACAGGGCCAAAAAAAAAAAATAAGTCATTTATTTTGGATATATTTGATACAAAATATTGGTAAAGAAAAATAAATGGGGAATGTGTCCATGGGACAAAGATGATGCCCCTGCTTGCATAAAACATTATAAAGGGACAAAACTCAAAAACGTTAAAAGCGACGTTACCCAAATTTGTACTTGATCTGTGTTTTGTAGTTATAAGCATTGTGTATAAGTTTCATAACATTTGGTTGAGGCAAACTAAAGTAAGAGAATGGAAACGAAAAATTGTAAAGGGGCATAACTCTAGAACGATAAAAGTGACACCACCAAAATTCAAACTTGATCTGTGTTTTGTGGTAATAAGCATTGTGCATAAAAATAATTTCATATTTTACAATCTCCTCCAAAAACAATAATTATCTTTAACTCTTTAAATGGGAGGCAACTTCTATTCTATTTACTTTCAGCGTTACCTTGTGGTAGAAAGCTTGTGAATCACACATTCTAATATTTTTTCTCTTTGAAAGATTAACTTTATTGTATATGTTTAAATGACCACAAAAGATCAAATAAAAATAGAAAATACTCTAAAATAATCCTATTAAACAACAGTGGTCACCCCATTCAAAAGAAAGTCACATGAGATCACATGGAAAATTAATAATAACATGATTTCATGATTTCATGAAAATGACATCTGTGTTCACAACACTTGGCAACATCTTGTGACTATTGAGTTTCTTCACTCCCACATGATGATTGGCATTTATCTTTGACAATAGAATATTTCGTACCAAATTGATTATCCTGTTCTTTTCTTATAACGTTCTTTTTTTAATATGTATTTGTTTTTGTTTTGAATTACGTCAGTTCTCCCCCTCATAACTTGTTTTTGTACTGACGTCATAGTGTGAGAATATAACTCTAATAAAATTATATCATATATAAAAATAAGAAGACGTGGTATAATTGCATATGTTGATATTACGTTGAATAAAAATACATATCAATTGTATGGCTTTCTGATAAAAAATGAAAACAACATGTTATAAATTTCATGCGTCCGAAGCGTTTTTCTGGATTTACCTTCATCATCAACGCTCAAAGCCAAATATTTGAAAGCCAAGGATGTATAAGAACAGAACCAGTTGAAGAGCTATAATACCAAAAAGGACCTTAAAAAAATAGCCATATCCATCTAAGGTCAACTTTGATAAAATAACATTGTAAAAAGCAACTGCAACACCCACATAAATCTTTTTAGCAAGAGAGTGCAGGGATTGAGATAAAAAAGGAATCGAGCAGCTGATATTTTCCAATATTAGTATAAGGAAAATCCATTAATTGAATTTTGTTGGTTTTTTTAATTGTTTTTTGATAGTTTTTTTTTTGTGGTTTTTTGTTTTGATACATTTTTTTTTTTTTTGGGGGGGGGGGGGGGGGGTCTTTTTCTTTAGATTGAAATGTAGGCAGTAAAGTCAATCACATTAGATGAACATTACATAGTGCGATATAATTTTTTTAAACTTTAAAAAAAAAATGTCTAAGTTGTAATGTTTATTGTCTGTTTCAAAGTTGTAATTTATAGGGAGTACAAGTGTAAATAGGATGTTCAATAGTTTCTTTATTGTAAAAGACAATTGGTCTACAAAGAATACAAACAACTATATTACAGAAAACAACTTTTCTATTTATATCAGACTAGAATTATGCCTTAGGTAAAAGTTTATCTCAAATATGACAATATTGATTCTAATAAATAGTAGACGGAGAAAAAAGATTTGAAGACCTAAATAACACATCTACAAAATTTCACAGCTCAATTTTTTCCTCTGGGTGGCTGAAATGTCATTTATATTAACGTTTCCTTTTTCAGGTCGTCCTAAATATGTATGCAATATTTGTCACTGGACCTTAAGCAACCATCAATCAATCATTTTTCGTGTCCAAACTATGTCAACAGGTCCAAAATGTAAGCCCAAAAAGTAGGTCATCTCCTCACAACCAGATGACATCAAGTCCTTGACAGATTACCTTAAATTAAGAAGTCCTTCAATTAGGAGCTGATGATTGAAGATATTAGAACAGGACTGGGCTCTTATTTTAATGCCTAACTTTGGATTTGGTTTGATACTATCTTGAATTTTCCTCTTAATTTTTTAAATCTTAATACACTGCTTATTGACCTGTGAAATCTACAGAGACAGTTATGTTATTTGTCTGTCCTTTTGTAACACACTTTTCAAGAAGGAAATTAGTCAATTATCTGCTCATAATAAAGGGAGATAATAATCATCCTCCGTCTCGCCATAAATACTCAAAGGCCAATATTAAATTTGCCTCTACTAAGTGACACTGTCAAGGAGATCACTAACTTTTAAATATCTCATAATTTACAAATCGCTAAAGCTAATACCTGCAATAATGATATGAGCTTGATTCTGTCTCTGCTTCAGTCTATTGTACTGTTTCTGTAGAGAGTTGATATCTGTACACATCCTCTCCATGTAGATAGATGATGGTAACTGTTGGGTCTCACCACTAGCACCGTAGGCCCCTGGTCCTACTTTGGATATATCAGCATTATTTTCCTCCCCGTCACTTCCTGGAAAGATGAAATTTAAGACTATTACAATTTAGATTATATAGGAGCTGCGTCGGATAGAAATCAACCTTATGCAAATGAATATCAATACATCTGTTAACCTATTTCAGGTTGAATAAAATGTCTAAAGAAAGTCTGTAACTGTTTGAAAATTGAGTTGTCATAAGAACCCTACAAAACAGACCAAAATTAATCTTTTATTTCGTATTTGAATGTTCCAAAATCAATCAAAGTCTTATACAAGTACATGTATACGTGCAATTGCATAAGGTCGATTTCTATCTGCACTGCATAAGGTCGATTTCTAACGATGCAGCACATATTCTGTCTGTTTTTATTAAATATACCTGAATTTTATGTTATACTGTAAAGTACTTTTAATGAAAATACATCATGATCAACATCTGTTGTCTAGCTATTGTATAATTCTAAAATTGATGATATCAATGATGGAATAAAACTTCAAAAGACATCTATTTTAAGACTTCATCTTTCAAAATGACATAATTAATTTCCTTAATTTCAAAATCTGAGTGATGTGTTTATTCTTTACAGCATTTGAATATCAATTAATCAAAAATAATGTACAACATTTATAAACAAAATTGATTCATATTGGGCCAAAAAGATTCCTAGCAGCAATTTTTCACTCATTGCTGCTGTAGAATTGTTGTTTACATAGAGGATCATCCACCCCTCTCAAGAACTCTTATATTAGCTTGACTTAAATGATACATTTCCTGTAAAATAAGGTAACCAAGATTGCAACTGCCTTAATTTCACAAACATAAGTAAATTAAATTAGAAAAAGAGGAATAACTTGACTTTTAAAGCATATCCCTAAACTCAACAGAAATTCAAGTGTTTTTTTTTTTTTCTTCATTTTTTTGCCATTTTATGAATTTTAAAGACATTTCCAGCACTGAAAATATGTTACGAAAATCATCAAAAAAAAGTGGTTCACTGTATAGTCTTCATTTGTGCATAAACTTGCACCATATGAAGAAGTTAAGAGGTTGAGGATGAAAGATTGTATAAACTGGACCAATGATCCTTTAAAAGGAAAATACCAAAACAATTGGAATGTCACAAAACAATAAAAAAAAGATAATAAATAAATCCGTGATTTCTGAGAAGCACAATCAAATATGACAGAGTCAACCTGTATCCCTCCCCCCTTCTACAAGTTTAAGTATTTTTCTATAACTATAGTAACTCTTGTAACGTAATAAGAGAACTTTCTATACTGCAAGCAACATCAGACAAGAAAAAAGCCCTGAGAATTTCTAAAATCTGAAATACAGATTCTGTGTCCATGCTTAAGTTGCAAGGATTGGACAATCCTCCATTTTAATTTTTTTCTGATAATTTTTCACTTTAAAAACGAAAAAATGTACCAAACTGGAGAGAAAAGGATTTTTCAAGTGCAAGTTTTCTGAGCATGAAACCGAATTAATAGCACTATGCTAACATAACAAACAACAAAGCTACTTACTCTTGTGAATTTAGTCAACAGAATGTGTTTATTTACTTTTATAAATCACCTGTGAACATTTCCTGTTTAAAAGGTTGGGAAGTGACAAAAGGGTTACTGTAAATAGAAATGATTCAATAGTTAAGCCTTAAATAAACTATTAGGTTTACCCTTTTGCTTGGTCTGATAGTAGGATTAATTCACATTTGTTTGATTTTTGAAGTTTAAACCTAAATCATATTAATTTTCAGACATCATTCTCCACTAAACGAAAAAACTAAACAAACTTTGTAAATGGTATCTACAATAAACAGACAAACTCAGTGTAGTTTATTAAATGTCAATTGAAGTACAAAAATCTCTTGAGCACAAACGTCTGAGATTGATTGTGTCATCTGACAACAAATTACACACACTGATATGTGTTGAGTAACATTTTCTAATGGCTCTTACCAAGAACATTAACATAAACGGCCAAATATAGATTTGGAAAAAGGAAATTGTAATGGAATATCTGATTTTTTCAGGTTAGGCCAAGAGTTTTTTTTACATACTGATTCTTTGCTTTGAAATTGTGCGGTATACCTTTTTATTTTGTGTGGATTAGCAGTGTGAAAATTTGTTTTCAATTTTTTGTACAAAATTATTTTCTGCCTTAATTGGGGAAAAAATCATTTTCATCCTGTCTTGTTCAAGATTATTTACTGTCAGTTCTTACCAGGCCAGCATATTCATTTACATAATCCTCCCCAAGGTTTTTTGCAATTTTACTCAGGATCTTAAGCATCGTAACATACAATTGACATCTTCTTCTTACATTTTTCAAGGTAGAGTGAAAACCCTATTATTTGTTTAGCAGGATAAAACAATAGTAAATAAAACTTTCCTACATGTAGTAACCTATCCCTATACATAAGTCAAGCACCATCCTATTCAAAAAGATACCTTTAGGAGATTCTTATCAACAGTGGGTTAAACTTATCTATGTTCAGTCAATTTGTAAACCACTACATGGAATTGGTGATCAGCTTTTAAAAGTCAAATTTACAGACTGTGCAGGTATTTTCTTCTTATTTTCCTAGAGAAGTCATTGTTAGTAGTTGGGGTGATCTAGTTGTATTATGTTCAATATTCTTGTTAATTCCTGTTAACGTTTTGATGTATTAAGAGGGGCAGAAGGACCTTAGTCGCACCGTCGTAATTAGGTCTTTATTTTTGCTGGAATTCTGGATTTACATTTATCAGAACTCTGGAATTAATGATTAACTTATCGGGATTCGGGAAAGAATGCTTTTTTTTTTCAGGAATTTGGAACCCAGCATTTATTTTTCTGGGAATTCAGGATCACACTTATTCTAATAGCTCCCTCTATTATCTTGAAATGGCGTTAGTATAATGTAGAGCTCACTTAATTGGTTAGATCCTATTAAAGTTTAGGCAACAAGGATAAGCATGTGCATACAGATGGAGTCCTAAACTGCTTGTCACAGCCAGTAACATGGGACACAGATTATGTAACAAAACGAGAAATTTTTACATATTGAATGTCATCACGCTGCTCACATGAAGCTTATCTCAGTTATTTCCTAAGGTTATGCAGAATTGGTAACTTAATTATTTAAACTTTAATTTCATAATATGAAACTTGCTCCATAAAAACAAATTTATGAGTACATTTATCAAATAATTCTTAAAATTAACAAATGCATCATAGGTTTCAATGATAATCAATTCTAAATTGCACATCTGTGCATAGAAAATTGAATTTTAGCTTTCAAATTATAATTAATTAATGACCTTTTGAATAAAAACTGTGTCAAAGCAATATTTCATACAACAAGATAGCACACACTGAAATGTCTTAAATAAGTGTTTAAAGCTTCTAAGATATTAGCACTTGCATGTATATTTGGAATAACAAAAAAAAATGTATAATTCCGAAATAAATTTTAATCAGTGAAGACTGAATTTTCTATTGTTCTTTACTCACCAGTTATTCTACTGGGACCATCATGCATTACAGTAAAACTTAACATTTTTATGTTTATACCTATATCAGTCAGAATACTATGGTAATCAACTTTATCATGTCACCTCTCAACAGAATTTGTTTCCATAAAATTGTATATGCAACTTAATATTTGAAAATTATTTTAATAAACTTTTGACACAGAGATGTGTCTCGCCTGTTGACAAAAAATTCAGAAAAAGGCAATCTGATGGACAGCAACATTGCTAATTAATTAAGTCGCTGGACCAACTAGTGGGTAGGGCCTCGAAATGGTTGACAAACTGAGATGTACAGACAGCAATGTAACTTTATAGAATATATTGTATATTGTAAGTAGTTTCTATCAAACTAACTTAATCAGAAAACTTAACATTGAAAATTGCTCATTAATTCAAAGTCACTGGACCATGACTTAGGGGGCAGAGCCTTGAAATAGTCGTCAAACTGATATGTACTGATAGTAATGCGACTTCATACTAAATATCAATGATCTATCACAAGTAGTTCCTATCAAACTAACTTTTAAAAGCAGAAAACTTCACATTGAAAATTGCTTATTAATTCAAAGTCACTGGACCATGACTTAGGGGGCAGGGCCTCGAAATAGTTGCAAACTGATATGTACTGATAGTAATGCAACTTCATTGTAAATATCAATGATCTATCACAAGTAGTTACTATTAAACTAACTTAAGTAGAAAACTTAATAATTTTTGACGCCAGAGCTGTTGTCGCCACAAAAAGCAATCCCTATGTCTCGCTTTCCGCGACATTAGGAAAGACAAAAACAGGTAACACAATATCAATTTGTAGGACAAAGTTGAGGATGGATCTTAAAAAAAGGGCTGGTACTCTTGAAAGCTATTTGAAAACAATATGCAAAAATAATGGTTTAAAACCTGACACCTGAAAAAAGTTGTTCAGGTTCTTTTACTTACATGGATACTGATATTCTCCAGGCATTTATTTTAACTGAAGTTATTGTCTCCAATCAAATTTGAAGTGACTGTGTATTTATGCATCCCTGATACATAGCCAATTTGATGCCCTCAAAAGTTTTCTGCAGCATGCAAGGTCAGTGTTATTTTCTCCATAGCTAACCAAATCTGACCGAGACTCGTATTCATTCGTGAGAAAAATAGGAGAATGAATGAATAAACACAGCTTCAATAATTACAGCTTAACTTTTCAAGGTTTTTCATCATATAGACTGACTGACCCCTTTAATCCATAAAAATTACAGTCATTGAAAAAATTAATACCTTCTCAGCATAGGCTAATTCTGCAGATCAAGGTTAGGGCACAACATTTAATTCTAAATAATTTTTATGACTATGTAAATCATAGGATTTGTCATAATATAGTTGATGAAAATGTTAAAACTAACGATGTGTTAAAGTGATAAAAATCGTAGAAATGCTACATTTGTCAATAACAATGATAATTCAATGTTGGAATATAATCAAACATGACAAAAAATTAATTTATTTGCATATTTGCAAGTAAGACATGTTT